CGATCAGCCAGTTCAAGCTCTGTTGCGCTTTTCGCTGATGGTGGCAAGAAGGAAGCAGCATCGCGGCTGATCGGATCCGTCTCATCACTGATCACGCAGTTTCAATGAAGGCTCAAGGTTGCCTCCTGCTTGTGTTCTCTGATGTATCCTCACAGTGTATCGCCTCGCTGCGACTTCGATGCATATACTCGTGCATGGAAGGGAAGCTGGCTGACCGGTTCGTGTACAGTACTTGGGGCGGTGTAAACTCAATGCGCACAAGCGCCAGTTGTCTATGCCTCACGTCCGGGCACATGCATATGAGCCGGAAAAGATAGAAAATTGCGGCAAGCTGGGGTTTGATTCCTCGCCGGGATACATCGGATGCAACACACCACGAGTGCGCATCGATAAAGTGCGACATACCGCGACCGCGGCTCCCGATTTTGAAGCCTGGTCATTGAGCATGCGACTCGGCGAGGGAGGGGTATTGAGCAGAATGAAGGAAGAAGGCATTATATTTTCACACAATATACTACAACAGAGTGAATAAATCTACGAGACGAGAATAAATATACGAAGGAAGCCGATAACGTTATTGAAGCTGAAAAGCTGGAACATGGAGGAAAAGACTAACTCTCCAAATAAACGGTGTAGGCCCAACAGACACGCGTTCCCACGAGAAAACCAAGCCCACAAATTCACTTTGGGGAGGAAAATCCGGACAAGAGTCAGCGATCCGGATCAACCGCTCGGTACTCGGTTTCAGGCAAGCTAATTTGTGAACCAATCCTTTGCACTTCAGTTAAATTCCAGTGAGACTGAAAGTAGATTTTATTCAACTGATTCAAGTCTCCACTTCGGAGCGACCAAAACTTTGTGAATAAGACAGAATTTCGGTGGACCTGAAGTCTAACTTGAAACTTGGAGTTTCAGAACAATTCTCGGTTCAACCGAAATTTGGTAAATTGCGGTGTGATTCATGAATTGCAGAAGGAGATCGAGCTCAATGGCAGAAAAAACTCCTAGGGCGTAAAGACACTCTGTAGGATAAGCACAGATTGGCGTTGGATTGGCGTAGTCACCTTGTATGTCCTGGAAAGCTGGTGATAAATTGGACACTGCACTCTAACAGCTCAATAATTTTTAACCTGATAACTTACTGCTGTTGGCATCAACTTGGCTTAAATCACAGAAGGTGTGGGATCAGATAAATCTTATTCTACGTATCCCCAGGGCATTTATATATGCATTTTACAACCAACCAGCACTTCCCTCATGATCTATTGGCTATTTTGAAGCTCTAAATATTATGTAGTAAAAACAAAAATTCAGCTCAACCTGGACCCTCCACGTGCGGAATTTTAATCCTGAATTCCCTTTGAACACCAAGCAAAATCAGCTTCTGAAGCAAGTGACGCACTCACCCAACGCGCGAGGACATACGGAAACCCTTCCATGGAAAGTTCAAATTGAATGAGGTCTGTTCCGAAGGAGTCGGAGCTTTCCTCGTAACGGCAAATTTGATCCCCATTTGATGCATATCAAACATCACGTGAGGTCATTTGGTGTCATTCTTCCTTTCCTCTCATTGTCCTGCTGCGGCGCTGACCTGCGAGGATGTACATTGAGCCTCTTCTGCCACCCGAAATTGAGCGAGAAACCTTGGAACTCACGGCCCTCAGCCACCCAGGTACAATCCCTGCCCTCCTGCGAGTCGCCAAGCGGGTTTATATTTGGTCAGTATCCTCTGCACCGAGACCACGGCAGCTCTAATGGGATGTGTAGGATTGAGCCTTTATTATATCGGATCATTTCTCTTAAACACGAGCGCGATCCCATGGTGCTTGCCCTGAAGGAGGCGATAACCTCCAAACCGCCGGAATTCTTGCGCAATGCTGTCCGCCACCTCATCTTGAATACGGATGATAATTTCTCAATTGACAGAAAGCAGTTGCTCAGACTCTGCGAAGACATCATCACCTTCGTCGCAAGCGATTCGTTTCTGGATTCCGCGCTTCTTCCCATACTCGCGGAAATGCGGGTCCAGCGGCTTTCTTTGAAAATGGAAGCCCTATTTCGCCCTGAACCCATTAACTTTGGGCACCCACTATTTTCACACGTCACGCATCTCGACTTGCTAGACATATACAGTGCGAGCCTCGTGGTGCACCTCCCGCATGTTCCGCTGTTGCCTGCGCTCACACACCTGTGTCTCGACACCAGCGTCCCGCGGGATAGCATGCTGAGGGTGCTGGAGGACTGCCCTCGACTCCAGTTGCTTCTAGTCCAGTGGTACCACTCAGACGTGTCATACGCGTCGGCGAAAACCCCTCACGCATATGATGTGCGGTTCGTCATCGGAACTTACAGCAACTACTGGGAGGAGTGTAAGTCCAGTGCTATGGGAGGTCCGGATTTTTGGGCCGAAGCGGACGATTTCGTGGCACGGAAGCGGAAAGGGGAGATCGAAGGTATTGTGGTCCAAGTCACGAGAATTCGCATATCTCTTACAACTGCCATTTTAGTCACACGTTATTGGTTGCGCTAATACATGTGCTGGTAATGCGCTATACGATCTCGATGAAGCGCTTTCTTAGAATGAATTTCGGTTTCTCATACATATATGCCTTCGCGCCTCAGTTGCTCGAAACCATGCAAGCTCATGGCTCAATCTGCAAAGTTCATCAAGACCGCTTTCCTGCTGGCGAGCAATATCTCCTTCGACAAACTGACATCCCCAGATTTCCAGCATCCAATATTCATGTATCTGCAAATCCCTTAGTCCCTTCCATTTTCATATTTCTGCTATATCTTAGACTCGACTGCCGATGATAGGGCGTGTACCAAAACACGCATGAAAACACCAGTTTTCATTTGATTTCCAAACTATCAGTAGAGATGAAGTGAGGTATTAGCTTTGAGGGTGTGCACCTGCCCAGGGTGGCAGGCTACACTGTTGATGACCGAAAGCTAGTGGTTAAGCATTATTAGCTGATTGACTTGACAACGTAATTCTTTCGGGTTACTGCAGCTCGATTGAAAGGCATTACGCTAGGCTATGAGTATGGTCTATGGCCATCTTCTCTATGTGTTGGAGGTGAAATCACAATGGGAACAACAAATGATCATTGATTAGGCTGCAGATCATGCGGTGGCCACAGTAATTCTATTAAGAACCAAGAAATACCTATAGAAACAGAAACCGGACAACCATCCAGACAGTAACAAGTGTGGAGCTGCAGCATAGAAATATGCTAGTGGCATTATAGTTGTGAAGCCGTTGGATGGTCTGAATAAGACATTGAGTTAGGGAATTGTGTCTGGCAGTCAGAGACCTGCAACCGTGAGAGCAACATTGAAGCCTGGTTGCATTAGGAATTGGATAATGAAGATGACAGATATTAATGTCTTAGTAAAAATAGACTTAGATCGCGTAGCGACCAATGATGCGGCTGCCGCACTCCTGTGATTACCCGAATTGTCACATGGAATCTTGGTCCCACTCGAGGCAGCAAGAGAACACAGAAACTAGGGAATGGTCTCTGGCGGCCAGAGATATGCAGCCGCCAGAGACAGGAAACATTGGCACCAGAAATTAGATACTAAAGATAAGATATCAGCTACCTTACTAAGGATCAGCTCGGACCTTGCAGTGGCTCGGTCATGCGATCACTGTGTACATGTGATTATTCAAATTATCACAAGGGACTTGGTCCTGTTGGAAACCACTAGAAGAGGAGAAACCAAGAAATGGTCTCTGGCGGCTCAAGACATGCAGCCGCCAGAGACAACTCAAGACCTCATATCCGTGATGGTATAATGGGCGGAATAGGAACGCAAGAGATAGGAAGGGCCTACTTACTAAAGTTGGTACCTGATCCACCAGCATGCACTATGGCGTGCTCAAGATAGAGCACATGGAATATCTCTGGCAGGGGCAGTATTGTGAATGCTCACAATCTAATTGGCTGTCCACCCGCCAGAGCCTTGGTCCTAGAGAATTCCGAGTATCCCCTGTTATTATCATAAAGTGTATATAAACCAGCCATACCGTTTGTATTAGTAGCATACTATCCCCTAGATATCAGGCCAATATCGTGGATTTGAGATCAGTAAAGATATCATAAGAACTGCAGAAGCAACAGATAAGAATAGAGAATACAGGACACTTGACAAGACCGTCTCGGATGCCAGTATAAGAGCTGGCTCAACCCCTTGAAGTGAAGATCGTATAAGTGCCGGGTGCTGAATCCTGTGTGGGCTTGTTCCCGGGAGACACTCCTGCTGCCCTCGACATAGATAAGGAAGTGGCACCGCCGCCTCCTGTACTTGTACATTTGGGCCCTGCCCTCCCACTTGTCTTGTATAAAAGCCAGTGTTGTTGAAACTGCTGCCAGCTGCTCGTTCGGACCGCCCCGGGTAAAAGTCTGTCTGAGGATATTCATCCTGCACTACTTTGCCTCGGTGCGCCAACAGTCAGTGTCAGGGTCTGTACGCTCACAGATATGTGAGATTCTTGAAAGTCTTGAGTTCATTGTGGAGTCTTTGATACCTCGAATGGGTGAAGTCCCTGCTCTAGCATAACAAGTGCTCAGATCACACAGTTATTGCCTTCCTCAATTACCCCCGTTGCACACCCTTCTTGAAGAGTGATACGTACTCTACTTCCCCGAACAACAACACGAAGTATTAGATTGGAGTTTGTGATATATTTTGATTTTGGGTTAGTTGGTGTTAGTGATTCGTCGCTTCGCTCCCTCTCTCTTATCATTAGATTTCATGGCTGCACACTAGTGCACCGTTTCATCAGGAGCCCACTGCGAGGGACAACAAACACAAATGAGTGTGTCCCTGTTGTCCCAAGCAATACAAATGATGAACTTGCAGGCAAGCATGTGTAAACAAAGGATTGTGGAAATTGAAAGTTCAGTTGTGCAGTATTTGGGCGGTCCCCACCTGCTAAGACCAGGATACTGTGTGACGGGGACGTCACATTCTCAAAAATAGGGGATGTAACGGGTACTTTAGCTTAGTGGTTAAGAGCACACTCAAATAAAGAGTATTAAAGAGTATTAAAGAAGTCGCGGGTTCGAATCCTGCAAGTGCCATTCTTTTGAAGCTTTCTTGCGTAAGCACAAGCACAGCCTTTCACCGATATTCAATTGCTGTCGAAACCGGGGGCAATGCTTGCGGCTGTGGCTAATGGATTCGCTGTTTGGGTTCATGCCCAGTGAGAAGTCCAGCTAGGGAAATTGAGGCAGCTTGAGGCAGATCGAGGAATCGAGCTAGATCGAGCGAGATTGAGGAAATTATCAAACTATTAATGTTTTTTTTTGTGAAAAAAGAATAGAAACAAGTCAGCTCACTTTTTGAGAGACCCGTTCCCAAATCTCGAAATTTGAAAGTTTGAAATTTGAAATTTCAATGCGCGCGCTCGACTGCTCGACCGCTTGGAATCCGAACAATCAAAAAGAAAGTCCCCGTCACACAGCCACACCTTTCCGCTTTGTCTTTGACCGTGGTGCTAGTCGCTGCGCTCATGGACGTTGCGCCCTCTGCATACAACCTAGCTGAATTGAAGAATACAATTATCTGAACCCTTCCTTTTGTGCCCGCCACCAACCCTTCTACTTCCGTATTGCGTCTGTATCACGCACCTTCACCCCGACACCTTCTTGACCAGGATTCTCTCTTGGAGTCTTTCGGGATGAGTTCCGCTGCCCCACAGGTTCTACCAGATGGTTCTCTCCAGTATTGCTGTGATTGCGCGAAATATTGCAAATCAATGAAGCTTGTTTCAAGAAAAACATGGTATAACCATGCCGAATACCGCAATCCTTTGCGCAGCTTCGACGCACATGCCGCCGCACTCAGCCTTTTCCCAGGAGCAGCCTCTAACGGTGCAGGCAGCTCTTCAGAACATCTGACACCGCTCGATCTGCTTCCCAATCCTCGCAGTCTTCGAGCCGCAGCGACGGGCTTGCACGAATGGAGCCCTCCGACGACCCTCCCGCATTCGAGGTTCCAGATTCGGATGGATTTGGTCAAATTTTGGTACGTTGTTTTGCTTTTCGTTAGCCGCCAAGAATTGACTCTCAGCGCAGCCAGACGAAGATGATATTCCTGATCCTGGCAGTCTTGCTGCTCCCATACTAGCAGATGAAGACGAGGAGCAGCCTGAGCCCTGCACGAGCCCACACCACCACAGTCTCCCATACACCCGCCCCAAGAACAGGACGCTCCCCGCGATGCTCGTCCTCGTATTCCGCCTGCCCCGGATCGTGCGATCTATGAGCCATTGTCGGTGATACCAGATGTCCAGGCAGCCCAACGGTTTATTCAAGCACTGGAAGGTGCTTCCTTGGATGACAGTGGGCTCGACGCCGATGTTATCCATCGCCTCCGCCATCCCAACACAGAATGTATTGATATCACCGACGACAAAGACTTTCGCCTATCCCTTGATATATTCCTTGCCGACACCAACTCCTCTGAAGCTACGTACGAGGCCACCCGGCAGGGAATCCTTCGTCATAGCCCCGACATCGATATGCTCTCCCACTACAGGATAAAAAAAGCCATCGAAAACATGACCGGGATCGTGCCCATCACACACGACATGTGCCCCAAGTCCTGCGTCGCATATACCGCCCACTGGGCAGAACTTGAAAAGTGCCCCAAATGTGACACCCCTCGCTACGATCCCGAGATATTGAAGAACAGTGATGGTCTGCAGAAGGTAGTTACTTAATTATATTTACACGGTGACACGCTCGTCTGATAACAATCGGTAAAGGTTCCGCTACGCCAGTTCGATACAATTCCGATCGGGCCCGTCCTTCAAGCTCTTTGGGGTAGCGAGGAGGGCGCGAAGCGGATGCGGCACCGACAGCAACGCACCACCGACATCCGTGCGCAGCGCACTCCAGACGGGAACATTCAGATCGACAAATACGATGATCTGTACCACGGCAAGGCGTATCTCGACGCCGTCGAGCAGGGCCTCATCGGCGACGATGATTCTGTTCTCCTGCTGTCCATTGATGGTGCACAACTGTACGCGATGAAACAATCCGACTGCTGGATCTATATCTGGATCCTTGTCGACATCGACCCGATTTCACGTTACAAGAAGAAGTACGTCATTCCTGGCGGTATCTTCCCAGGTCCGAACAAGATCCAAGTTGTAGAATCATTCCTCTTCCCGGGTTTATACCACGTTGCCGCACTCATGAAGGAGGGTCTCAAAATATGGGATGCGAGCGAGGATCGCATTTTCACAAATTATCCATTTCTTCTCCTTGCGACCGCAGACGGCCCCGGCATGGCAATGATGAACGGCCTCGTCGGACATACAGGCGCATACGGGTGCCGACTCTTTTGCCCTGTCAAAAGTCGCCATAAATCCAAGGCCCCCACTTATTATCCCGCTTTGCTCAAACCCGATAATTATACCGTTGCCGGCTGCGACCATGGGGACATTTCCTGCCGTAACCTACACCTCGGGTCTCCAACCGAATATCGGGATGCTCTTTTCCCTGTCATCGAGGCCAAAAACCAGAGACAGTACGAAACGCGTCGCCTGGAGACCGGAATCGTGAAACCGACAATATTCAGTGGGCTAAGCAGAACATTATCGGTACCCACTTGCTTTTCAGGTGATAATATGCACCTCATCTTGAACCTCTTCGATCTCTTCCTCAACCTTTGGCGAGGGACCCTTCCATGTGATCCGAAAGATGCGCTCACTCAATGGGATTGAGCCGTGTTGGTGGACGAAGATTGGGAGGCGCATGGGAAGAGAGTCGCGGCTGCCACCCCATATCTCCCTGGATCATTTGATCGTCCGCCACGAAACATCGCGCTCAAAATCAACAGCGGATACAAGGCTCAGGAATGTTTAACCTACTTCTTTGGCCTTGGGCCTGGGCTGCTCTATGGCCTCCTTCCTGACACGTATTATCGACAATATTGCAAGATTGTGCGGGGATTTTGCCTCTGTTATCAACGGGAAATTCTTCGGGAGGAGGTTGTCGAGAGTCACCTCAAATTTTGCGAGGCGTATGAGGAATTCGAGCGCCTGTATTATCAACGGCTCGAGTCTCGTTTGCATTTCTGCAGACAGAGTCTGCATAACACCCTCCACGAGGCCCCCGAGGCTGTCCGACTGGGTCCCGGCGCGTACCATTCGCAGTGGACTATGGAACGCACAATCGGGAATCTTGGCGAGGAGGTGAAACAACATTCGGATCCTTACACCAACCTTTCCCACCGCGGTACACGACGTGCACAGGTCAACGCGCTCAAGTCTTTAATACCGGATCTCGAGCCCGCAGAGAAATTACCTCGCGGGGCAGAGGATCTCGGCGGCGGATATATTCTCAAGCGTGCGAAGGACGAATATAATCAAGTTATTCGTGGTGCGCAGGGTGACGCCATCCGGGAATATCTGGAAGGCGTGACTGGAGAGTCTTACCCTGACACATTCAAGCCGTCTCTCCAGCGCTGGGCTCGATTACAGCTGCCATGTGGCCAAATTGCGCGTTCGGCCTGGAAAGAAAAACAGAAGGCGTTGGACAAGGTTCGGATGGCACGGAATGTTCGGGTAAGTTATTTCCTGAGTTTTTCAAGTACTCGTCTTATTGTGTATCAGTTTACAGACTGCGGGGAAGAGGCTTATGCTGAAGTACAATTTTTCTTTCAGACTGATGTAGAAGACGAGACTGTCACCACGGCTCTCATTCGCCGATATTGCCCACCAGACAAAAATTTGCTGGAGGTTTCGTCAAACACGCTCTGGGTTTGTGACGAGCTGGACGACAATGGACCGATGGAGGTCATCGAGGTGGACCTGATCACTTCGGTCGTCGGGATGGTACCATTTGATGATGAACGAGTTTTTGTTGTGCATAAGTTGGGATTGGAACTGACTAGCATGTCTGGTACTGTTGAACCCGATGTAGAATAGTATATTGTATGAAAGAACACTTGCAAATGCCGATTCAGTTGCGCGCGCGTCGCCACGTGATCGCATCATTCTTACCTCCTCGCCACGACCTCGTCTCGCGACCACTATCATACGACGCGTCTGGCGTCAAAATGAGCTCGCCTTTGGACACCTTTAGCCCACCCCATCCTTCTGAGCTTTCCTTACGCCTCAATCGACCCAGCCCAGCCCCAACAGCCTCAAGCAGCTCTTCCTACACTCTAAGCTCCATCTCCAGCTCACCTGAGCTCCAGCGCCGTCGATTCAGCACTAGCGACGACCAAGACGATCCTTTTACAGCTGGGAAGCTGCCCCGTCATAATCATGCCATCAGACGCGACTCAGGATCGGCTTTGTGGGCAGATGATTCATGGGTGAGCACGTCCATATCTCTCTCACATCTATCATTCAATATGTGCAATAGCAACTAACACGGCCTGCTGTATCGTCGTGGAACGCGACCATCGCAGAAGCAACACACGACGCATTGATCAGTAATCGCAATTTTGACTACATGAAACTCCTTGACGCGCACGACATTCTCAAAACCCGGTTACAAGATGCGAGGCTAGCATACGATCAGCTCAATGTTAGATATGATACTCTGCAGTATGTCCTTTTTTTGAGCGGAATCTTTTGAGCTAAATCTGGGCGTAGGACCTGCTATACGACTCTAGTGAATACGGTTGGAGACCGCCTTTCTACTGCTCCTGCTACGACCCCTGCCTCCGCAACCACTAGCAACGCCCTTCCGCCTGCTTCGTCAACATCTGTCGACCATCTTCAGCTTCTAGATCGCAAAGATTATCCCCTGGTAACATACTGGACTGAGGGCGAGTTCCTGGCCGCAGAAAAGAAGCGCAAGGATGAAAAGGGTAAGGCTGGGATGGCCGGTCCGCAATCTAAGCGCGGGGCTCGGCGGCTCGTCCAAGACGACGAAAATGTTGTTTACTGGTTCATTGAAGACCAAGACGGAACACCTGTCACCGGCAGGAGGGCCAAATCCATGCGAGACGAGGCCCGGCGGATTTGGAAATCCCTCCGGACGAACGGCCATATCCCCGAACGTTGGGGTGATGCAGACTCGGTCATACGAAGCTATTACGCAGGAGAAATGCGACG